AACCTCCTTAAACCCAGGGTATTGGCAGAAGAGCATTTGCAGCATCATTGGTGTTGTCTCGTGCGGAAGATTCTGAACAAACAATATGCTGTTTGGCGGAGCTGGTGCCTCAGGAACCATAGATTTTGCACCACCTGGGTAAGGTATTTGTGACAGCTGCAAGAGTTTGGAGGAGAATGAAGCAAAATGATCAAGATTGTATAAAGGAATTGCATTAAAATGAACAGACAACCTCCATCCATTTTTTAGTTAATTTGATAAAGATGAAGTGTATATATAATATATAACTCGCACACAAGTGCGTCTAAAGCAACTATTGACTTATAATGACTGTTAAACAAGCATATATACTACTTTCCAATGAAGATCTTTTCTGAGGACAGCATCCTTCTATTAGTTTAGAAGTAGATAATCCATTCTCTTTAATTTGCTCGAAAAAGTCTAGAAAATGAGGACCCTCCGACAATTCTTGTAAAGACAGTTTTTCTACAACTGTAGACGTACTTTTTAGTACTGGAAAGAAATAAAACTCCATAGACCTAACCAATGCCTTACCTCTGTTTGCCTATCCAATTAACTCATTTGTGGTTTACATGCATCTCCTTTTCTGGAAGTAGTAATTACCGCATTCATGGTGCATGTTCATAATACATCTCTTCCAGACCACCATTGATTTTGCACCAGATGTATTTCCAAATAGACATTGTATTTTGGACACAATTCACATAAACCAAATGGCAAAAACACAGCAACTAACCCATTCATATGAAATTATATATATCAACTGTTTGACTAAATTTCACATGTATACGGAGAAGAGATCTTTAGAAGCATTATATATGCATACCGGAGGCATTGCACCATAGGCGCCAGCGTAACCAGTATTCAGACCCATGCCCATCTGATTAGGATCATGTTGCTCTTTCCGTTTCTTGCCAGCTCCATTTATGAAAAATAATGAAAAAGAAAATTTCAGGAATGCAAACTCAAAGGAGAAAACAAACTCAAAGCAGCAAATTAGTCTCTAAGGACCACAATAACAAGATGCTAACAAATTAGGACTTCATGTTGATTGCTAGTAGATCCAAGACAATAGAAGTTAGAAGAGAAAATCATAACTCTTAAAAATTGTATACTACTTACACAGCACGAGGATCTTGCTAGGATTTAGAAATCACTCAAACAAATAATTTTACCTATATGAGATTTCTAAATTAATATAGATTTAGGAAAATGTTTGTACCAAGGAGAACACATTAATCTTAGGAGTAATAATACCATATGCACGCAGAAACATAGAGAGACAATTCAATAAGTAAATAACAATGGAATTTAAAATCTCACTCTTTTCTTCATGTCTCTTCCTCTTTTCCCGTGGAACAAAAGTACCATCAGCCTTCGCAATAATATCTGATTTTGTTTTTGCATATTGTATTCTCTGTATTGTGAACATCATACATCATTATTTATTTGCAGAAGAAGCAAATCTTCTCTCCAACTTGAAGAAATGATTATCAGAAGAAAAGCAAACCATATGATCCATATAAAAAATAACCTTCCTAAATCAGCCTCTATACTCAATGGACAAGTAATAAGAGCAAAACTCAGGAGTATACTAATTCAATCAATTTGAATATAATCGACAAAATGAACCTCTATACTTCGTGGAGAACTGCAGTTACCACACAAATGTAACATATGAACAAAAAAATTTTGCTACTGAACTGTCCAAAACACCCAAGATCTAAATGATCTGGTTCAAAGGATAAGTGCAAATATTCATGCATTTATAAGATTACTTCCCTTATGTTTCCATTATAAATTCATACCTTATATATCAAGAACGTTATCAACTAAGTTTCCATGAAACTACT